TTTTTTTGATATCGCTCGTTTAACTACCAAACATTGACCAGCGGTACTGTTGTGTCTGAAGTGATATTGGAAAAGCAGTTGTATCAAAGAGAGTAATTCACTTCTACTCTCAAAACCAAAAATTTGTGTTTTCTCGTCAATGTAATATTTGGTCAGCAAAAATTCATCGTTAGCTTCAAGAAACATACCTGCAACATATCAGTAATGTGCATTCATTACAAAAAAGCAATCTTAAACTATTAGCAAACGATAAATGATTAGGCATAAACTGAGAAGAGTTTTTATTTCGTTAGTGGGAAGCTATTTTTTACTTTTAATATAATTAAACTGGTTAGCTGATTCAATACTGTACAGTTCGGCTCCTTCTTCTTGACATAAGTGTCTCAAGAGCTTCTGATTATTTTCACTGTCTCCAAGTTGAGAAAATTTAAAATTTGGCGATAGTTCTTGGACTTTTTCCTAAATTATTGTGATACTAAAATGTATTTCCTCATAAATTTGCAAGAGTTTAAGATTTCTGAAGTACTTTTATACTGACAACAGATAATTACGCTTATTTGGCCTGACTAAGTAAAGCGCAAGAAAAGTTATGTCAAACTGAAATAAAAGACAAGGTAATAATTGAAATATACAATTACCCAATCTAAGTATATATAACAAAACCACCGTTTTTTATCTGCATCGTAATATTTAACCTTATTGGTAGCACCGTCATTGCAGTCGATGACGTCTGAAGCATAGAGATCGAAGTTGTTTAAATAAAACAGTTATACTATACCAATAATAATTGTACTTTCTCAGCTACAGATAGAAATTTTCTTGATGTTAGAAGAATTAATAAAATAATTTAAAAGCTGTTTAAAAAGTATATTTGACAATAATTCAAGTTTCTAATCATTCTTCACCTTTTTGCCGACTTAATAAGTTTTATGCTTAGGCAAGTCTATACAACCAATAAATTCTTTTTCGTTTGCTTATTTCTTTTTTTAGAATACCTGTTAAAAGGTTAATAGCAGACAGATTTGTTGCAACATACTTACCAAAGTAGGAGATAGATCTTCCAAAATTTAGTTTTGTTAGTACAACAAAAACTGCTAGCAACAGTAACATTCATCAACTATAGGATTTTCAGTTTAGCTTAACAGAAATACAACTTTTTTTTCATACCGAACTTATTCAAGTTTAAAACATTACAGCTGTTCATAAAATTAAAATTTCTGAAATGTTCACATTACCGAAATGCTCAGAAATAACAGCTATAAAAAGAAATTAGATAGAAAAAAATTTCATTTTTTTTGCTTCTCTTTTTTTAGTAAACTAAACAACAACTGTTTAGTTGAAATTTCATTTTGTCAATGACAATATTTACAATTGATTCATCTCTGATTAAATATTACTGAAACTAAACAGGAAATGACGTTGGTCAATGGTTGCACGAATAAATAATCATAGGTGGAATATGAGTTGATAAAAGAAAACAACAGAACAGTCAAAACTTAACTTTGAAGTACAACAAATTACTGAGTAACAAAAAATATCTGAAAGTTGTTTCAGATGTCAGACTTTTTAGCATTGTTTTAACGGCAGCTGATTTAAAAAATCTTTTAAAATCTTAGTTGTCTCAGGAACGTTGATTAATTGATACCATATCAGATTTATCTATTCCTTCATAAAATAGGATTTTTTTTTAATACTAAATTTGCTAAATTTGTTGATTTTAGAAAGTTGAATGTTTCAGTTGTCAATGCTTATGACAACAAAACAATTATAAAGATTTTTTATGACACATATCAATAGCATTCAACTTGAGCAGATAGAATTAGTACACTTTTTTACAATAAAACTTTATGTGTAAAAACAATTGGTGAACAGCATTAAGAATTCAGCTTATAAAAACTAAGGCGGAAATATGATTGACAAATATTCTGTTAAGACCTGTCAAGGTACAGAATTCTTTTTTTTTGTAAGTTTATAAACAAAAGCTAAAGTAAAAGTAGCTTTTATACTTGTTATTTTTCTGCTCAGTTTTTTTTTTCTTTTCTAATAGCTCTAAATTATTGACCAAATTTTATCGGTGATATTGGTATGACAATAAAGTTTTCAGTAGTTGCAACTGTAAAAAGCAATAAGCTTTTAGCGTACAGCAAAAGTATACGAAAAAAAAGCTTTTTTTTTCTTAATATTATCCACACGAATTATTTGATTGTTGTAACGTAAATAGAATATATTTAACAAAAAAGAAGAAGCAGAAATACTTTGGTTTTTTTTTTTTTTTTTTGCAATATCGTTAACAATTCAACAACTGCAACAGCGTACAACAATAAAAAAAACTTTATACCCGTTAGCAATAAATATCTGTCTATTAGCAAATGGCAGTTTTAAGAAGAGATCACTTATTTATCAAGAAGTTTTACCATCAAAAATAGCTGCATTTTTTTAGCCAATATCATAAATTGTAGTGTACAATCTGTCAATCTTTTCAACCAGTTCTTCGACATGAGCCATTTCCTCTGGTGCCAATCGGTCCATCACTACTTCGTCGTAGGTACATTCGTCAAAATAATATCGAGGCCCGAGCTTTGTCTTTTTCATTAATTCAATTTTGATCTTTTTTATCAGTACTGCTATATTGCTGAGGAATAGTATAATCATACAACCACCAAGAGTTAGAAGAATTTTTTTCACTACAAATTGGACACATTATTTGCTGTTGTATTCATTTATGCTTCTTCAAATAGCAATTATTACATTTGCAAGCAATAAGCTGAAACCTATATTTATTTGCATAAAAACGTTAGTTTTATTTCTCTTTCTTTCTTTTTTTTTTTTTTTT